CTTAGCATCCAACATAAGGAAACGTTTAATTCATAGGAAATTCCATTCTTTGGCCACAGGGGTGCCTGGTCTAATCTCAATGAGATTTTAGGATCGGTTAGGTAGATTCGGAACTCAAAAAGTCGACCACATTGACTTAGTCTAAAACATTCCACATCAGGTGCCTCGTGTGAGACGCCTAGGCTGAACCAATCCAACCTAAGCTGGGGTGCTGGGGTGTGCTTGGCATTTTAGGGCTAGCATAATAGGCTCTTACTCGTTGATAATTACCTGCATACGTCTTCATTGTCGGCTTCAGCTATATTCCATATTGCTTCGAGAATGATTACCTCCCGAGGAAATGGATGGAAAAGTACCTTCAGAGGAGCCTCCTCCTTATACTGCCGCCTCAATTGAACCCGGTGTACCAGGTGACGTGTCACTAGGTTCATTGACCACTTATTTACAATATCATGTATCCTCTCTCCCAAACCTCATTCGGGAATCACAGCAAGCGCGGGAAGCCGAATGGGCGACCAGTGACGCTCAGCTCTTAGACTATATCGTCCCGATTGTCGAAGAGTTCCTAGTCGATCTAGGGGCTCGGCATGTCCCCGTTCCACTGGCCACACTTACTTTAATACCGGCCACCGCAGTTCCCAAGAATGCTGTTCTTAGCAGCCAAGAGGATATAAAGCGTCGCGGGGAAGTATGTCGCGTATCCAGGGTCTCCGTGCATAGCGCCGGCAAGGATATGAAGCCACGCACCGGAAGTGAGAGACACCAGAGTGCGAGTGAAGACCCAGATTGGGCCCCGGGGCAGGAGTTCACTGACTGGGGACGATTTGGAGAGTCTGGTTCCACGGCGGATAATGACACGGAGAAAAATAGGACTTGCTGGTGGGATGATGAGGAAATGGCAAGACGATTAGCCAACTACCTACGGCCCAAGAAGGAGGAGAAGACGCACGTGGAGCGTCCTTCTGTGGTTCAGGCCGTAGTCGAGCATAGGATACCGGCGAAGAAAGAGAAGAAAAGCTGGCCCTGGGGAAAACGTGCAAGTTCGCAGAAATCACCGGAAGCATCAGTTCCAATTCCTACGAAGGTCGAAACCGCGGTAGACGAACGACAACAAGAAGAGCAACAAGGTGCTACTATGGTAGTCACCGCGGAGGAGGTCGTATTCCGCCAGGAGAATGAGTTTGGGATATTTGAGAGTATCAGAGGGTGGGGGATTGTTGTCGCTGTGAAGATGAAAACTTGACGGGTTACGTTTCTCATCATATTGTACATCCTTGGAATATATACCCAGCTACCTATCTATCGGTCTAAGCATATTCGTGAGTAATCATATCGAATCCCAACGCCTCCACGCTTAAAAAAAGGACTAGTTACAGGGGTATATATACAGTGGACATTTAATAATATTATACAAATTAAACAACTACCGGCCACCCGGAGCTGAAGTCGAGCTTGTTCCAACCAAACCGGTACTCATTAGCAGCAGTTGTGTTGGTTGTAGTGTTATATGGCACTAAAAGCAAGATGTTTGTTAGTCCATGTTCCTGAATATCATCATGAGTGAGGCGTCGGAAATGACTTACCATAGTGGTAGTAGATGAGAGGGCCTCCAGCTTCATCGTCAACCATCACACCTTGGCCACCAGGAGCCCAGATTTCGTCATGAGTACCCAGGATCTCTTTTCCGCCGCTCTCATCAGCGCAGCTTTTTCCGTTGTCGTCGACGAAGTCACCACGCGGATGCTTCGAGCGGCACACCATAACCTTGTACACATCACCCTCGTCGGTCCAGGTGTCATCATCCGTGCAGCAGCGGCCGGAGGAGAAAAACAGGTAGTACCAGTGGTCCCACTTGAACATGTAGCTCGCCTCCGTCGGACCGGTCTCAAATGCTTCCGTCTGGTTGTTGGCGAGGTGCGTGATGTTGTCGTTGGCGCCGTCGGCGATCTTGACCGGCGGGTCGGCGAGCGGGATCTGGAAGATGCCCTGCTGGTACGACCCGAACGAGAGCAGATTGCGCCGTCTCGCGCCGTCGTCCAGGGTCAGGAGCGAGGCGTCGAGGATGTTGTACCTCTCGGCCCAGTCGATGCCCAGCCACCCGTGCCACTCCCAGCTGTCGATCTCGAGCGTCTTGGACGAGGCGACCAGGAGACTGGCGTTGTGCGAGTAGTTGTGTATGTCGGCGTTCTCGACCCCGGTGGTGGAGTAGTTGAACTCGTGGCTGTTGAGGAACAGGTAGTACGTGTCGTCGAGCTGGTAGATCTGGGGCGCACCGCCGTCCTCGTGGAAGTTCGCACTGCCTTCGTGCGTCCAGGGCCCGTATAACGAGTCGGATGTCCACACGCTGCCGTTCTTGCCCGTCGTGTACAGGAAGAGCTTGTTGTCCGATTCACGCCGTATCAAGGTCGGATCTAGAGTCTGCGCCCTGGGGTTGTTGGGGATTGTCCCGTTCATGGGCTCCGGAGATGGCCATCCATTCTGGCCGTCGTTTGAAAACCAGAGTGTGAAGGTCACACCGAGAAGTTTGAGTTCTCTAGGAATTATCATCTTGACGGCTAGGCTGTTACGATATTCTTAGGATCTCTTGGGACCTCTAGAGACCTCTGCTGACCGACGGGCGTTTGAGGAGGCGGTGGTTATAGGATCTTGGGCTTGTCGAGAGTTGAAGATGAACATGCTGTCTTAGCCATAACCAATAGTAATGCACTTATTTATATGCATAATGCATAGGATAGATTCTGTGGGATCGTCCATCATGTCATATCCTATCCAAGTGCAAGATACGTTGGAGCCTTACGTACTGCCACGTTTGATAGTTGAGATTCCAAGAGAAGAAAATCTTGGAACTGCCGGTGATTGGGGCTTGTGATGATCATAGTGGGTAGGTAGATAGGTAGGTAGCTAGATTCAGCTTCAGCTATTCCTTGGAAAAAGAACCTTTAGATCATTGACGTAGATTTGTCAATAGACAGAAAAATGTCCCACTGAACGAACTAATGGGAGACCCTAAATCTCGATGTCAACAAATTACGTCACAGCAAAAGCCAAGCTCTGGTGGGCCTGGGTGCGGTGAGGCACAGGTCGGTCTGTAAATTCGTTCGCTCAGAGACATTTTTTTATTTTGAATTCTCGTAGGTGAGACATCTAGGAAGGAACACGAAAACCATAAAATTATATATTGTAGATTATTATCATAGATGCCTGCACATCCAGACCCTTGGTCCCCTAGATCTAGGTACTATGTTACCAGAAATCGGGTAGTTGTGGGGTAGGGTAGTGCGCGTAGTCCGGATGACGAACCCCTGAATGCCGCCTGCCATAATCCCTGTTCGCATTCTGTATCCCCCGTCATAGTGTATTTGAACTTATCAATCCATCATCTCCAAACGACGCGTCCGACCCCCACGATCCCAGATAACTGGAGAACCAGGAGAGGATAATCGAATATCCGTATGCCTAGATAAATATGAGCTTAGGATCTATTGCTCCGGCTGTCTTCCTTGGGTTCGTCATCTTCATATTCTTCTAACTCCGACGCGCGATGGATCGTTTCATGCATCAGCCTATCTTAGCGGTTAGGTAACGCCGGCACCTCGGAGATACGGAAATAAATCACGGATGATATGATATAGCACATACCTGGAAATAAACATCCACAAGTAAATGACCTTGAATGCTTACAAATAGCAGTTCATCTTTGTTTGCTTTAGACTTACATAAGTACCCCTTAGGAGATACAGTAATATAGGCGTAGGCGTATTGCAAGCCTTGCAAGGTGCCATAAATAAGTTTAGCAAGGTTGATTTCGCCCTACTTGAGTGTTATCATGCAATTGCTGACCGCACAAGCACTTGGTTACACGATATCGCTGCAACAGCGCTGAGTGGCGTTTTCTAGCCCTATGTATGGGCTTGTTTTACTTACATGGTTACGAAGATATCCGTCTCAAGGGTTTCCGTCTTAAATTTATTAATATTATTGGAGTTCCTAAGAACGAAAGATCACGAAAATAGGGTCGTCAAACTATAGCAAATCTCTGTAGTTTACCACGATGGAGTCCAGCACTGACTCGGGAATACTGTCAAAGCTCTTGCGTCGTATAAGAAAGTCTCTGAAGAAGACTGAGCCAGGTACTTTACGATACAGGAAAACGCCAATCGTCCTACTTGTTTTCTATTTGCCAACCCTAATTGTGCCTTGGGTGCTTATCTGCATCATGACGAAGCGACCTTTAGGGAGCTCTTCTTATTACGAACAAACGGGTACTCGGTACTATAACAATCTTGCAGGTGTTCTTGCCGCCTCAACGTTAAAATCCATCAACGCCGTATTGGCAGTTCCAATCATCTCAACGCTGCTAGCTCATGCTTCCGTCGTCCACGGGATGCGGCGACGACGCAACCAGAAACTCAACTTACAGCAGCTTTTTGCGCTTGCAGATAAAGGATGATCCAACTACTTCCTATTATTGAGTGCTAACTCCCGCGGCAAAGGCGGCCGTTTCCTGTGGCTGGCAGCTCTTCTTGTCATTCTAGGTTTTGGTTCTATTACTTGTAATCAAAGCTTTTGCTAACCCAACTCAGGTGCCATCCTGCAACCCCTTATATCACTACTAGTCAGCTTTGAATCAGTTGCAGTCACAACATGCCTCGACATACCGGTAGGCTATTGCAGTAAATTTGGCCCGACGACTATAGGCTACGATCCGGAGCCCGCCGACATGCCTCGTCTACAGCGCAACCTGGTTCTACATGATGTCTTAGGCCGCTTGGTTACCGTGTCGGATTTAGAGCCCCAGCCAAACCTATGGCCAGTCAAACCAGATAGCAACCAATTCATTGATGGTTATTTAAAGCCTCTACACAGGCAGATGTTTTCAAGTTACTTCGGCTATAACCCCGAGGGCTTTTTCGTGACGGCTCTGAGCAATGGAACGAATACTGGAGTGTAACGCGAGCATGCTTTACGATTAAATTCCTCCGTACATTGCGAGCCCATATCGCGGTCGAGCCTTCCATATCCTTGTCCAGGCGCGCAGCCTCTCGAAATACATATAGCACGACAAGGTCTTAATCTGGACGTGTGTGTGCCTGGAAATTCGAGCCAGTTCCCTTTCACACCTAGCCGCAACCGCCAAGATATCACAGAGGAGCTATATATCCATTTAGAGTCGCCACACAATATAACAGGCTTCACTGACAACTTTACCTTACACTGCAGTGCATCGACTACTAGAGGGTATTTTGAACTCGGGAACGAGCAGAATAATTACATCTATGGCCCGTTGCTGGAAAGATGGCCAGACCCAGACGATATCGAGAAGAATTTCAACGACTTTCGAAATGCAGGTACACACCTTGCACGTCCTACAGAAGAGTAATTGATTCCTATTCCTTTACACAAAACTTCCACGTTGCCAACCACTAACGCATTTGGATTAAGGGACCCGTCTGCGTTGGGACCCGATGAGCCCTTGCCAATCAACATGTACATAGGGGCACCATTCGATGATGAATACATACCCGGGAAGGCCCCAGTACCCGGCCCTCTCATGGTATCGGCCGAAGTATTATTTGGGAACTACTCATTTTTACAATTTGTCTCGGACAATTTGACCAATATGACGGCGACTTCAACTTACGCAGCTATGTGTGAGCACGGCAATATTCCATTCTCGCAGGTGTTGGGAATCATACCATTCGACCAGGGACCGTCCGCGTATTGTGGCCATGTCATAAACAGGATAGTATATTTTCCTGACAACTCGGACGACCAGATAACGTTGATGGTCGCCTCCCATGCTCGTATATTCAACAATACAGACTACGCCGAGTACGGGTTGATGATAAGCATGTACCTCGCCAACCATGCGATGTTAACTAAGACAATAGTGGCTGAGGATGTGGATATGTATTCTGCCCGTGAAATCTACTTTTCTCCAGGCACGACGGTTATGCAACGCCCGGTCATGAGTACAAGAAGCATGGCTGTGGTAACTACTCTCATTGGTTTGCAGACCCTGAGTCTAATTCTCGTGGTCCGGTTTATCTACACCTTGCCGACCTGGGCATCCGCATTTGACGCGATGGAAGTGGCGCGGATTGCCAGGGCGCTGGGGGACCAGGACTTACCTCCTCTCGGCCCCGTAACACGCGAGGACGAGAAGCGGCTGAAAAAGATCGACGGGTTGATTGGACTGGCGACGGCAGATGAAGATAAAGTTGACGATGGCAATTCGACTGGTGAGAATGAGACAAGGAGTCAAAATGCTGCAGTACCACTGGTTGATGACCAAGCACCCAAGGTGCATTTGGTGCTTGGCGGGAAAGGATTGATCACTCGTCGAGGCTCGGATGGGAAATCATAGGGTATTTATCTTGGAAGACAAGACTCATTTTCCATGGTAGAAATGTATCGACTTGAGTACTGCAACATCCTTCTTTGATATCATCCTTCTTTGATATTTATCTGCTTAGGTAGCTACCTACCTACCAATAGTTAACACGAGTGATGCTATTTGTACATTGCTTTCTTGACAGCTAGTAATGGCTCCTCACCTAACTTGGCTATGTATCTGTTGGCACTACGTCTGGGAATAGGCGTTTTTAAATTTCTAATAACACCCAAAACGGGGTAATTTCTACTACACCGTATCTCCATCCTAATCCCATAGCAGTGCTCTCTAGTAGTCATATATCTTACATAGTAACTTTCCAACTTATCATGTTTATTTAGGCGCCGACGAGGTTGAATATAATGAGGGGCTGTAGCATGGATTAAACTATTGTCTTAGTACAGTAAGTGCAATAAGACGTGATGCCAACTAGTACACAGCTAAATTAGGTGGGCGCTCATTGCCAGCTGTCAAAAAGTAATGTACAAATAAGGAAGAAGTAGTATACAAATAGCATCACTCTTCAACACCACAAGCCTCAGAATTACTTTCTTAACCATTGACTCCGCACAGAACCGTGTGGGATATCCCTCCCCTTAGCTATCGTAAACGGTGTTGCTCTGGTCATCTGTTGCCACTTCGTATCGTATGGCGATCGACAGTCTCCCACCTCGTGGTATGTCTTGATAGTCACTGCCCATCCGTGCTTGGCACCGGTCCATCTTACGGAACAGTCCCAGTCAGTTGGACAAAATATACACGAGCCTGTCCCATGGTAACCTGATTCCCTTGAAATGCCCTTGTCGAGAGCTGGTATCTTGACACAGTTTATTGCTGCCACATCAACCCCTGCATGCATGCAGACTCGGAACGCCTCACCCTTGGTCAGATAGTCCTGCAAGGCTTTACTATCACCGCCGGAATGAATTCTGCAGTGCTTGGCAGATAGAAGAAGTTTGTTGTCTATCATCCGCACTTCCCATGATTCCATTCCGCATACCTGAGAACCCCCTACCAGGTCTTTGCCGTTGCAGGTGCGGAATAACTGGGTACTGCCTGGACGCCCGGTGGGTAGGAAAGTTAGGTTCTTTGGACGTCTGTTCCGGGGCGAGCTCTCGGGCGAAGTACGCAGTATAGGATTCCGATGAGTCAAGGTCGAAGGCGATATTCCATGCTCAGGACCATGAAGGTGGTGGTTGGTTGCGAGTCTTGCTTCGTAGTACCGAAGCTTGAACGTGGACCCCTTGAAATTGATCACGCCGAAATATTTGACTTGCTCTGTCAAAACATGCAATGGCAGCGGCCCGGATAGGTATGTCGAGCCGAATGGGAAAAGCTTCTCTTTAGAATGGCAGTAAAAGAAGCCAGGGTGATCCTTTTCTAGGCGGATAAGGATTGCCTCTTTGGTTTGTGGGTCGAGTCGCTTTTTGTCGATTTTATAGGTAAATCGGTGTAAAGCTGTGCAGGTCAAACCAAAGCAGACCTTGTCCTCGACAGGAAGATGGTCTAGTATGTCTAGGATTGTTTCAGCAGGGAAGAAATCCAGTATTGTTGACGAGTTCGTCGTGGGGTTGGCTCCCGGAGCTGCCATGGTGAATTATTAGAATAAGGAGTCAGTGTATGGTGTCAAGATCTGGTTTTCTCTAGGAATGGTAAATGCCAGTAGGACCTACCTGCCTATATATACATTTTTCATTGCCAATTAAGTTTCTGTTTTCGATGGGAATATCATAAATCTTGACCTATTACACTCTACCTTCGCTCAACGGAATCAAACTTTTATCTTATAGACTTAGGCTTTATTTAATTACCTATACATATGCTTTTTACTGCGTTCGTTAAACTGCTTCTTACGCGTACCTACTATAACACACGGTCACTTACACGAGTCTGCAGAATGGCCAATAACGACACCGAACACCTTTACTTAAGATCGAAACCAGTGGGCAGGTAGGTACCACAGATACTACTTTCTAGAGGCCGTTACTTAACGCCCCTACTACGTCTACCCCTTGCCCTTCACCAAAATTTCACCTTTTACATCGAGGTACTTAACTTTCATGCTATGATACAGAGTGTATATATTCCATATGAATAGGAGATATCCTATTATTAAGAGACAGGAGGGCCTATTGATATCACTCTACTATCACTTGCAGTATTTGACATTATATTTAGCTACCTAGGTTATACGATGAAAGGCTATCCATGGTAGTTGCATTGGCTTATTTAAGTTCAATAAACCGATTATAACCCCTGAATAGGTGAAACCTATACCTCGGAGATAACATTTTAGGGCGGTAGTCCTTTCACCTAGAATTCAACAACTATTATTACTCAGTCATAGGCATAGAATAGGTACCTACGTATACGCAGAGCAAGATAAACAACGACGCATTTGTTAGAGTTCATAGGTAGATTATGCATCTTGTCAACCATGGGAGTCACAGTGACGTAGCTTGTTACATATTTCTACTGGTGTCAATGCATGTCACACTCAGGGGGTGAATGATAGAAGGTGCTGTCATGTCAATTTTTCATGGGTAAAGTAAGTACAAGCATGTTAGAAAATGCAGCATTATTCAACATGAGGCATTCCACGTTAGGAGCCACTGGGATGGACACTAAAACACGAAGTAGCAACATGCAACGGATTAACATGAGTTAGGTAGTTCTGAAGCTTTACACAACCTGTAGGTAAGCATTAGGTATTCTCTCTTGCTTTTCCACCAAGCACATATCTATTTGATAAGGCCCAGCTTCCTCTTTTCGCCAACTGAAAAGTATCATCGTAATTTGTAACTTTCTGCAGATACCATCGTAATAGCTAAAATGCCACGCAGAAACGGACACCACAACCATAACCATCATCGCAATCACCACCACGGGCACAGTTCCGCCTCATCCGCCTCCCCTAGAGAATGTGTGTACGTCAACGGACGGTGCATTAACTGCGGAGAACCTGAACTTCCCACCGAAGGTGGATGCGTCTTCGTCAACGGTCGATGCATCAATTGCGGCGATCCCGAGTTCCCCAACGGCGGCAACAATGCCCACTATAATCGGCAACAGGAAGAACTCTACCGACAGCAAACCGAGCGCTACCAGCAAGAGCTCCACGAACTCCAGCTAGCCCAGATACAGCTATACCAGGAGCAGCAGCAGGAGCGGGAGCGCCAGCAAGAGCAGCGCCAAGAGCAGCGCCAGCTGGAACAGTTCCACCTGCAACAGCAGCAGCGCTTCTACCACATCGATCTCCCGCCCACGCTCTCGCGCCGAGATTACGGCCGGGTCTTTATGGACTGGCAGGAGCAGTGGCAGAACGGGAGAACCCAAGGCTATCCGCTCAACGAACACCACATGCGGCAGTGCTTCGGCGAGGATTGGGATCGCGCTACGCCCCATGAGTACTATGATGCGATGCAGAACGCCGTGGTGATGGTGAACTCACGCCAGGAGCACGACTCGGTCTCGCGCTCCCAGAATGCGCCCCGCGGCGGTCAAAGTGGGGAGTCGGATGATCTGGACAGAGCTATTCGGGAAAGCATGCGTGGCATGTAAAAGCCCTATTTATTAGGCGCTGTAAGCTCTAGGAGGGGTATGAGAAAACTGAGATTCGGCTATCTATGTAGGATATTGTCTAGCTAGATTGCTGGCATTGGGAAGGATGAGGGGATATTGGATAGGTATCGCCGAGCGATTGTTAGCTGAATAAATGCGTTTATCTTGATAAAACTCCCCTAACTAACAAGCGGCCATGGTCGCGTCCTATGCCAATAGACCAAGGTGAATATCATGCTTGAAAGAACCACGAGCGATCAAATAACTTGACTCTCAACCCACCACCGCCTCAAGCCCTCAACATCGCACCAATCAAACCGCGTAGGATTCTCATACCACCAGGTGTTCCCCTCCGGCGGGCGATCGCTAACGTACTTCTTCAAGCTGCCGCCATCGAAGCGGTGATTCTTGACACCAAGCAGCAATACCACGCTCCCGACCTTTGGCGCAAACTGGTCCGCGTCGAGAAACACCGTTAATAAAACATGTTTGTCCGTAGACGGGTCTGTTAGCCGCGCCTGCCGCTGAGTATACGGCGGCAACCCCGAGGGTTCGACATCCGAGATGGCCGAGATGACGGCGAGCACGTTTACGCTCCAGTTCTGCTTATATGGCAGGTTGGGGATGGAGCGTAGCTTGGTGAGCTTGAGAGGCTTGTCCGGCGCGTTGCGCGGAGTGGAGGCAGCGGGCTTGGCAGTGGATTTAGCGCTAGACGCGAGGTGTTGTCTGTTCTGGGTTACTTTTGCCGTGGTATCAGGCATGCTTTCGAAGTCATCGTCGTCGTCTGCATTGACAGCTTGCTTGGGAATGTCGATGCCGCTGTCAAAGGACTGCAGGACACGAGTTTCGGACTTTGCACGGGGCGTCGTGCTGGAATCGTCCTCCTTATCGGATTCGGGCTCAGCTTCGGGTCCGGCTTTGGCTTCCGGGAGTTGGTCGTCGGTTTGCGCGTCAATCAGGGTGTTGTTCCACCCGACAAGCGCAAGATCGTCGACCACGAGATAGACCATACTATCTCCGGCAGCTTGATCATCTCGTTCTTTACCCTTCCCTTTAGTAGTGGAAGGATTAGTCCTAATGCCGGTCGAGAGATTCTTCCATTCGACTCGGAAGCGTTCCAGCTTCACGTAGGACCCAAATGCGATTTCACCCTGGTCCACGTATCTGTGCATCTCAGCGGAGAGCAGGGCTTGGATACACAGCTCTCCATCCCCCAACATCAGGCGCACAGCACGCCATCTCTTCGAATTGGACGTGTGAACCGAGTCAATGCCCTCAACCAGGAACACCGAGCCCGGGATACAGTATCCGGTGCGCAGGATGTCGGAGATGAGGGGTATTGGCTCGAAAGGCTCCGGCGCGATACATGTTATATCGGGCGCTTCAGACGGGGAACGGGGCGAAGAGACGGACATGAATCTTGAGATATCTCTT